CAGCTTTTTTTTCCCACAATTTAAATGTTAAGGGTAAAGGGAATATCGTTCTGTTTGAAACACAAAACATTATTGTTATTATTCATTAACCAGCTTCAACAGTTTTACCCAAAAAATCAAGGACTCAATCATTAATCAAAAACTAATTGAAAATATTGTTAAATTCAATAACGAGTTTGCTTGAATAGCAAAAGTTAATAAGGTTGACCAGGATCGATTGGTTGACCAACAAGTTTCAAGTCAAACTCGGCTATTAATAACAAACTCAAGTCAACCGAACAAGAAAAAGTTTTCAAAAAGTTTTCTTTTCTCACTCAAACATTCAGAATTTCATCTGAAAATCTTTTCCAGTTCAGTCAATTCCAAACACATAAACAATTGCAGAATCAAAGCTTGCCAAACTTCAACTCGAAATTTCGACTTAATTGCTTTTAACTTTTCGAATAAAAATTGAACAATTTTCAGAATAAAATTTTCATTATTTTTCATGTCAATTCTGATTCCATTTTGTGAATGTTAGATGGAAGCGAAATGTTGAGCGATTAATTTCACGTTTGAAAGGTTTGTTTTCTGGTTAAACCCGAGTAAAAATGTCATATGTGTCGGACATAAAATATGTGGAAATTAACTCTTTAATTCATTTAAAGTTTGTGGCATATGAATTATAAGTCGATGTAGCGTAGTTGAAGATTATAAAGATTTATCAATCACCTTTATAAGTTCGATAAAATGTATGCTTTTTGATATTTCTATTTGATAATTCTATATCGGCGATGTATCGATTTTAGAAGAAACTAAATGATCAATTTCAGAATTCAGATATATCGTCGCGATAGAGAAGCCAAGCGTACAAGAAAGTCAGAATACAAATACTGAAGTGAAGAAAAATGTAAAAAGTCATTGAGAAGCGATATATTATTCTGAATTGAAACTTTATTTGTGATTTTGATAATAATACTTCGGTGATATAGAGATTTTAATGAATAGATATTTGAGATCTTGTGTCTGACTTATAGAAATTTTTAAAGAACATTATTTTTTGAATTTAGAAAAGATAAATATATGAAATTAAACAACAATTAGGATCAAGTAACGATAAATATTTGAAATTTAAACTTGTTAGACCATGATTTATCGGAGATTAATATGAAAAAAAGACTGTAAGTATGAAAATAAATCGCTATATCGACTCTGTGTAATCTTATTTTGATTTGTTTCTGTTGCTTGTGCGGATTGTTTGAGTGCTGTTGCGAGGGTTAGGTTTTTTGTTGGATGACGCCGCTTTATTCTTGCTTGATTTTGGATCTTGAGAGTTCTTTGCACTGTCAACCAATGAGCCAACTGAGCTTTCATCCTCAAGAATAGGAATCGATGAAATATTCGGAACACTCTCTTTATCTATTGATGTTGTATTGCTTGAAGATGGAATGGCTTTATCAGTTGACCCAGGTTCTTCTTCATTGGTATTTTCTTCGTCTTGCTCGCTTAACAAAAAGTCACCTTGTAATTCCTCCGATGTATCGGCCATGTAGTATTGCATGTAACTTGCATATTTCCGACACGAATCAGATGCACCAATCATTAGATCAATGAGTTTCTTTTTCTCGGTGTAAACCTTCATCCAAAAAGGAGGGTTATCCAAAACATTTTGAATGTTATATCGAGGATAAAAGATTGGAAAATCTTTATACTTTTCTCGTAGATTAAGCTCTGCTTCAGTGTGTTTTTTTGTTTCACGATTATAAGCGAGAGTCTCGCGGATGATTTTTTGATAGTCAGCGGATCTTTGCGCTTTTGCTGCTCTCAATGATTCGTCTGATAAATCTTGCTCACGGCATATCGCCCATATATCTGAACTCGTGTCATATATTTTTGACATTTTGTTTTCATCAACTTTGACCAATTCTTTGTTTCCCTTTTTAGAGATTCCAGTTGATGAAGCATTTTTTAGCTCTGCATGGGTGCAAGAAAGATACATCAGGTTTCTAAAAAATTCCAGAAAATTTTTGTTCTCTGCAGCTTGTTTCGTAACAATAGAAAATTCTACTGGCCAAGTATCACCGATAATGAGAAGCTGTAAAATAGTATAAAATATAAAATAATGATTAGATATATTGCCGATATATAATGTTAAAAATAGAACTTACGTCTCCAACAACTCGATATGACGGTTGTATATTGAAATAATAGCCTCCTGGTTGTGTTTTTAGCAATTTAATGCACATATCAGCGTATATAAATGCTGAAAATGATAATTTAAGGCCGAAATATAAGACCTGTCTAGCTCCCATATCCTCAAGTTTTTCAACCTCTATTTCACCGATAAAATCATCTAAACTTGGCCCAAACTGTTGAGCTTTTTTCTTCAAGTCAGCTTGAATCTTTGAAAACTTGTCATGAGCCATATATCGAGTAGCTACTTGTTTCTCAATTAACTCCGCAAATTTATCTGTATCCTCTGTATTAGCGACGAATTTAGATTCGTCCTGTTTCTGGATATATCGGCGATATAGAAAGTAAATTAAATTAGTATTAAATCTTATAAAAACTCTCAAGAGAATAAAATGAAGATAAAAGATTACCTTATCTGTAGCGGCGCCAGAAGTCTTTCTTTTTTTCCTTCGTGGTTGAATTTCCTAGATAAAGAAAAATTTTGATTATCTAATCAAAGATAAAGCGGCGACATAAAAAACTTACCTCATCAGAAAGCTCAGTTTCTGTTTCATATTCATCAAAGAAGCGTTTAAATTGAAATCCCATTATTTCTGCCAAGGTGTATCCATTATTGTCACGGTTAACTTCAGAGATACTTTTTACTTGATGTTGTATTCCTTCATAAAGCGGCGATTGTTTCAAATCTTCAAAATTTTTTTCGGTGAGTATAGCGATCCCATAGAAGAAAAAATTCGGCGTTTTAACTTTAACTGAAACCTTTTTTTCCATTTTCACTAATTTATAAAGCTTGTTATGGTTTTTAACATCAATATATCGACTTTTTAAACAAGTATAAGATCCATTTTTAAAGGAAATAAGAAAATAATAAGGGTCGGAAGAAGCCATTATTAACAATTGAAGTGAAGTGATACAAGGGGAAAATAGAAGTGAAGTGAAAAAAATTATTCTCACATGTTCTTTATCTCGTTTCTATGGTAACGTCCTGCAGGTGGCAGCACATATACTTTTGTGTCCGCTGTATGTCGGCAACATATTTATCGAGAGTATTGTAATATTGGGATATATCGGCGATGTGTCGAAAGAGACGTGGACAAAAAAGAAATGCAAATATCTGTAACACCGGCGCTGTATTAAAGAAAAGATGTCGATCTAATCCATGCAACATC